AGTTAATATACAGTTGAAGTCAGAATTATTAGCCCCCTTTTGATTTTTATTTTCTTTTTTAAATATTTCCCAATTGATGTTTAACAGAACGATGAAATTTTCACAGTATGTCTGATAATGTTTTTTATTCTGGAGAAAGTCTTATTTATTTTATTTCGGCTAGAATAAAAGCAGTTATTATTTTTTTTTTAAACATTTTAGGGACAAAATTATTAGCCCCTTTAAGCTATTTTTAGCTTTAATCTACAGAACAAATCATCATTATACAATAACTTGCCTAATTACCCTAACCTGCCTAGTTCACCTTATTTACCTAGTTAAGCCTTTTAATGTCACTTTAAGCTGTATAGAAGTGTCTTGAAAAATATCGTCAAATATTACTTACTGTCATCGTGGAAAAGATCAAATAATCAGTTATTAGAAATAAGTTTTTAAAACTATTATGTGGAGAAATATGCTGAAACAATCTTCCCAGAACAGAACAGAAATTGGGGAAAAAAATAAACAGGGGAGCTAATAATTCAGGGGGGCTAATAATTCTGACTTCAACTGTATATACTAACATGAACAATGAACATTACAGCATAAATATGCACAGAGTGCATTAACTAATGTTAAGCATGAACAAGGATCTCAATAATGCATTATGAAATGTTGAGCTATGATTAATAAATGCTGTACATTATTGTTCATAATTAGTTTATGTAAGTAAATACTAGGAATGCCAAGGTTCTTAATGTAATATTGAACCTATCGGTATGACCTCCACAGTTCAATACGCGCTTGTGAATTTCGGTTTTCTCGGTTTTGCGTTTAAATAACTTGTGTGCGTTTTATATCTCCCTGAATTGACTGTGTGTGCCTGTAAGTCCATGAGCTGAGATGAGGAAACCCCTCCCAGCGAGTAAATATCCAATCACTATGCTCTAAAGTTAGGGGGCGCTTGACCATCATTCCATACTTTAACATTGCGAGCAGCGGTGAAGTGAGGCTGAGGCGACAGTACAAGGAAGTGCCGGCGAAGTGAGGCAACAGTACGAGAAAGTGCCGGCATCTTTCAAATCTGCGATGTGAGGACATTTCGGTTTTGCCGGTAAGCATAATGCCAATAAAAGAAAAAATGGTGAACAAAAAATAACTGTGTGCAAGCATTGTTTTACACGTGTAACCATGACTGCACATCTGCAGCGCCATCACCCAACAATATCACTATCTGAAGGCAGGATAGCAGAGAAGGTGATAAAGTCCTCCACAAATAGCAACAATCCCTCGTTCAAAGAGACACATAAAATAACAAAGGCAGTGTGGGTGTTTATTACTAAAGATTTGCAGCTGTTTTCGGTGATGGGAGATGTGGGCTTTTGTCCTCTTATAAAAGCACTCAATACGCATTACAGACTACAATCACTCAGATCTTTAGGATCATATAAACTAGAAGTTCCAAGAGTTCAGTCAAAGCAGGGTGAATCTGCCTTCAGCCACTATGCCCCTCGCTGCTGGAATCAACTTCCAGAAATGATCAGATGTGCTCCAACATTAGGCACATTCAAATCAAGACTGACAACTCATCTATTTAGCTGTGCCTTTACTGAATGAGCTCTGTGCTGCGTCCGACAAATTGCACTATCATGTTTTTCTCTTCTTCTTCAATCTTTTATATCACATTTAACCTTTTTTTATGTTTTGTTTTTACGCATTTTTATTATTTGTTTTTATTTTACTTGTTTCTTTTATTCTTGTTTATGTAAAGCGCTTTGAATTGCCACTGTGTATAAAAATGTGCTATATAAATAAACTTGCCTTGCCTTACAGTCTCACATTTTTTCAGCACTGAGATAATGAAGATGGTTTATTTATGTTTACTGAAGTACAAATATGTTTATTTAAAATGGCCAATTTATCTTTATTAACTTCACATGTGTGTTTATTTTCAAGATTTTATGTTTTCCCCAGTTTGTACATGGGCTACCAACACCTGTGAGATTTCAGTGTTCATTTTTTATACAATACACTAGGAACTACTGTACTTTTCTTGGCTTTTAAGTAAAACAAAATGAGTATTGCAATAAATCGTTTTATTTTTTTTCTCCCTAACCTCTTACTGTTCCTATTGCCTATAGAATAAAAAAAACACACGCGTCAAGCCATGAGAACCAAACCAAACCAAAAACAGTGTTAAAAAAATGTTTTGAACCGTGGACTAACTGTAGTGTTGCATCCCTAGTAAATACATGAACTAACGAAACCTTATTCGCTTGTAAAGTGTGATGTCACGCGAAGCGGCTTCCGGGTCCAAGCGCTCTATCCAACTGAATGGGGAGACTCATGAAATGGTACTAATAAACGCTTACAAAGCGATTTAAGGCTTTCGAAAATCACGATGGCAGTATACATGTCCATGCCTAATATCCGATGGCCAGAAAGTGATTAATTTTTTATAAATTGTTAAAATTTTGGTATTTGTTATGCAGCAAGCCCAAAGATTGTTGTGTACGCTATGACTTTATATAAAATTAACTTTAATGTGTGATAGGAATAAAACGTGATCATAAACGAATGATTTCTCCACTCAAATGAATGGCGGCTTGGACCCGCAAACAGTATACATACGTCACAAACCAGTTAACAAGCGGATTGTAAAGTGTGACCATCAAAAATAAAGAAAATAAAGTTATTATCTCACAACATCACACTTTACTATAAGGTTTACTAACTATGAACAATACTAGTACAGCATGTATTCATCACAGTTCAATGTTTGCCGAAGCTTTAATAACATCCAGTCTCATACTTGTTAACATTAGTTAATGTCCGATAAGTTAACATGAACTAAGAGTGAACAACTGTGTTTTCATGAACTAAAATAAACAAATACTGTAATAAAGGTATTGTTCATGGTTTATGATAGTAAATACATTAACTAACATTAATACAACATTATCGTAAAGTGTTAATAGTCAGAATCCAGCAGTGGCTAAAGTGAAAGCATACCCGTTCATCATTAGAGGCGCTTTCCGGGTCGTCCTTTCCATCATCCGGCAGAGGAATCCTGGACAGGGTCAAACCGTTCAGAGCTGCCAGCTTCAGCGGACCGACCTTCTTCACCTCCGAGCGTCCTTTTTTCATTCCCTTCATATCCACACACACAAACACACGGGAGAAACAGAGAGAAACAGAAGAGAATCAGGATGTGAAAGGCAAACGCTCTGGGAGAAAAATGCTGTTTTTCAGCTTCAGCAGCCTGTTCTTCTGCATTCTTCAAGTCACACGCATGAAGTCAAGTGTTCAGCCTCACCTTTAGTGTAAAACACCTGATCCACATGCTGACGAAATGAAAATAAAACATGCAGCAGATCAGGTGCAACTACATGACGCTTGTAGGTATGGGCTGGTATAAGATTCAGACGGTATGACAGCCTTAGATTAATATCACAGTATCACGGTATTGTGATTACTGCTATAAAATATGCTTTTTTTTAAATGTCTGGGTAAACTTTTTCCTCTTTGAACACAATATATTTTATTTTTAGAAACATTTGAAATATTTTGGAGCAGTAAACATGTCAGGCTAAATAATGATTAATTCAGCTGTCTTCATTAGCTTAAAAAAAAGCTCTATAGGCATGCTGGATGTTGGTTTATAAGCTATTGGTTTTAGTTTTTTTTAATGTTTGCTGAATTGTAATCAGCAGCTTTTGATGTGGCAAGTCTTTTTCTGCTGGAGATCCTGTTGCCATAAAAAAACTAAATAAAACAACATGAAAAAAGTACATATACATAGTTTTCAACAGATCATTGAGTCTATGTAATTACTTGTGTAATTATGTGTAACTTTAAATTCATAATATTGTTTTAAAAGGAATTTCACTAATATTATTGTGATATAATAATAGTAATATTACAATGTTCATATGATTTAAGCACAATACATATTGTAAAGTAATATTGTAGATCTTTTAGTAGATCTATTATATGAGACTTGCTTTGTTTACCAAATAGGTGGACCTACAGTAATTGCATTTGCATTGTACACATTAAATAAAAGTTATGAGTAGGCCCACACGGAATCTGCGCGCGCAGAATTCCACTGATTTTCCGCAGAATTCAGCAGATTTCTGCAGGTTTTTAGCCCATTATTAATTCTGTTTATTTACTTGAGTAAATGTGTAAATCTGAATTTATTCAGTTTTTATTCACTAATGTATTACTTTTAACTTAATATATTAAGGTTTTAGTTATGATACTCCGCTGGATACTACCAAAATAATTCCACAGAAATCCGCAGATTTTTACCAAAATTCTCAGCAGAAATAGCAAAAAAATGTCAGCAGATTCCATCTGGCCCTGGCTATGAGTTGACAAACCAAACTAGTGCAATCATCATACCCATGACCAGAAATGTTCAGATTTTTAGTTCATTATTGAGTGCATTTAATTGCTTATGTAAACATTGGTAACTATATTTTTTTCAGATTATATATTAATTTCACTAATTTTATTAACTAATATGCAAATGTTTATATGATTTATTCACACTATTTTACTACTTTCAGGAGATATATTATATGGTAAACTTGCTTTGTTTACTAAACAAGTGGTTCCAATTTGATTTGCACTCTAACCCCTAAAAACGTTTTTATTTTCATGTTTTTTGTTGCTATACTACAACTAGTGGCGTTGCCACAAGGTTTGCTGTTTAAAAACTAACCTAGAACAACAACTAGCCCAGAGCACCATCTCTTGATTAAAAACTAGCCAAGAGTACAGTCTACTGTTTAAAAGTAGCCTAGAGTACCATCTGCTGTTAAAAACTGTCCTAGAGCACCATCTGCTGTTAAAAACTGTCCTGGAGCAACAACTGCATTTAAAAACTAGCCTTCATTGTCATTACCTATAAAACATAAGCCTAGTGTGCCATCTGCTATTATAAACTAGCCTAGATCGATGTCTACCGTTTAAACTAGCTTACAGCGCTGTCTGTTATTATACACGAGCCTAAAGCGCTGTCTGAATTTATAATCTAGCCTAGAGCGCCGTCTACTGTTAAAAACTGGCCTAGAGGGCCATCTGTTGTTAAAATCTCGCCTAGAGCGCCGTCTGCTGTTAAAAACTAGCCTAGAGCGCCGTCTGCTGTTAAAAACTAGCCTAGAGCGCCGTCTGTTGTTAAAAACTAGCCTAAAGTGCCATCTGCTTTTAAAACTAGCCTAGAGCGTCATCCGCTGCTAAAAATCTAGCCTAGAGTGCTATTTGCTGATAAAAACTAGCCTAGAGCGCCATCTTCTGTTAAAAGAAATTGCCTAGAGCACCATCTACTGTTAAAAAAAGTGTCAAGAGTGCCGTCTGCTGTTTAAAAAACTACCCTAGAGCCTCATCTGCTGGTAAAAACTACCCTAGAGCCTCATCTGCTCGTAAAAACTACCCTAGAGCATCATCTTCTGTTAAAAAAACAAGCCTAGAGCACCATCTGCTATTATAAACTAGCCTAAAGTGTAGTCTGCTGTTAAAAACTAGTCTAGCGTGCTGCCTGCCGTTAAAAAAAACTAGCCAAGAGCGCCATCTGCAGTTAAAAATAAGCCTAGATAGACATCTGCTGTTTAACTCTAGCCTAGATACCTGTCTTGCCTTTAAAACTAGCCTACATTGTCATTACCTATAAAACAAGCCCAAAACACTGTCTACTGATAGAAACTAGCAGAAAGCCCAAATCTTCTGTTTAAAACTAGCCTAGAGCGGCTCCTAGAGCGCCATATGCCGTTAAAATCTTAGTTTAGAATCCATTCCAGAGCTAAGAATTGATGCGAAATCATTTCTTGATTTAACGAATCGCCACAGCTTCAGTAAACAGATGAATCAATCCTAATAAGCACATATATGAAGTAAATAAACGGACCAGTGACTCTCATTTATCTCTGCTCTGTATATGGACTTACCGCGGGTGGCAGCCCATCAATGTTTCTCCTCCCCGGAGGCACGTCAGACACAGGTCTTTTCGAGATGTCTCTATTTTTCCTTAAGCGTCCGCTCAGATCTCCCTCTGACACTGAGGGCATCATGAGTCCGGGCTCCCTCAGAGGCGGCAGTGGCCCCACGTCCTCTGCTTTCTGCATGATGGAATGCGCCTGGTAGGCCGGAGGACTTGTTAGCACCGTCTCCATACTGTGGCTGAAGGGATAAGCAGGAGGATCTCCGAGCGAGCGTCCCAGCGAGGTCATGGGATGCTCTGGGCCGCTCACTGCGTCCTGAGACTGTGGTGTGTGTCTGCCGCTGTCGTCCTCAAACTCCTCCTCCTCTCCGCTGCTGTGCACCAGCATGGTGGCATCCGACAGAGACTTCTTGTGGCCGTAGAAAACATCCTCTTTGATGCCTACGTCTTCTGGTTTCGACACCTCTAGGACCACGTTGATGTCGGAGCCGGATGCTGCATGGGGCACTGCCGCGGCAACAGGGGGCGGAGTATCAGCTGCTGATGCGGATACCTGGGTCAAAGTAAATGACAATAAATGAATGAAATAACGTGCAGGCAAATATTATTCGATATACATACTAGTAGGGCTGCACGATTAATCAAAAAAGATCACGATCTCAATTCGACCCAACACACGATCTTAATTCAGCTTTTCTACGATTCAGCCAATTATATTTTCAAGGTCAGCAGAGAAGCTTAAAGACGGCCCCACAGGAACATGAACACCTTTAAATGAGGTTAAAAGTGTCACATACTGTATTTATAAAGGTATAAGTCACCCAGAAATGTCATTTCTGTCTCATGTAATGATTTATTTGCAGCCACAAAATCACACGTGAGCTGACCACGAGCTACCGAGAATACACTCGCGTGCAAGTAGCACGTCAATGACGGCTACTTTAGTCAACAGAACCCACATATGCTGTGAGTAACAAGTTGTAAAGTTGCAAGTAACGTTCAGTTTGTTGCACAGAGCGATCGTTTGAGAATAATTTGCATGTCTGTGTGTTTATCACAGTGACGGCAGCCATGAGCCGCACTGGGAAGTGAAATTGAAACCCTTGCGCACATCATCTAAATGATCATAACGCATTGTACAGTTATGATTATGACAAGCATTTGATATGTTTTTTTTTTCTTTTATAGCAAACAGAGTTGTGCATGAAACTAAATGTTTACAGTGTCAGTGTAGCTACTCTGGCTTATATAATGTTGAATATAATGCAAAAATGTCTGATTTTACCAGTGAAAACAAAGGTCTAATAATGCTGACAATAACAGATGACAAGGACGTCTTAAACATAATAATTAAACTTTAGAATTATGAATAGTTGTATTCTGATGTCATAATTTTACTGTGAATTAACAAACAGGACATATTGAAAGTCTTTTCAAGTCCACCATAATGACTGTACAAAATTTAGCATTTTAAGCAACAGTAGAGCTACACACAGGCCTAATATTATAAGTGTTGTTTTACCATATCATCACTTTAGAATTTGAAGGTTCTGACATTTTTGTCAAAATTTAGTTATTGACAAATTCTTATTAAATGACAACTTATTGTTTACATTAAGACTTTAAAAAAAAGTTGCACACATGCTGTTTGCTATATGAATTGCAAAAACTTTGAAGCTCAATATCTCAAAATCCTTCAGAACCCAGATAGAACCTTATAGTTCCAAAGTGATGATGTTTGAGAATTAACAATAATAATAGCCTACTCATATGAACCTTTATTTTACATCTATAGAATCGTGAGAAAGAATCGTGATCTCGATTTTAAGCAAAAAAAAAAAAAAAAAAACGTGATTCACATTTTAGCCAGAATCGTCCAGCCCTACATACTAGAATTCATCATTTAATATATTGCTATCGAAAACACCTACATTCTTAAAATTATTCATTACTATTAAACTAACAATAATAGCAGTAGTGTACAAAAATGTATATTTTCATTTACTTATATAATGCTTTAGATTGTTATTTACATTATACAATAGTTTGCTAAAATATTTATTTATTTAAAAGGTGTACACTACCTGACAAAAGTCTTGTCACCTATCCAAGTTTTAGGAACAACAAATAATAAGCACTTCATTGCTCCTCAGTGTTTGGACTCTCAGCAGTGAAAATTAAACCACGCTGAACTGAACTAAACTGAACTTCAACTCTGGACTGACACAGTTTAAGTTTACTAGAACTTCTGTGTTAAGCTGCTTTGACATAATCTACATTTTAAATGTGCTATCAGAGGTGGGACCAAGTCATTGTTTGGCAAGTCACAAGCAAGTCTCAATTCATTGCCCTCAAGTCCCGAGTCAAGTCCCGAGTCAAGACAGGCAAGTCCCGAGTCAAGTCCCGAGTCAAAGGCAACAAGTCTCAAGTCAAGTCCAAAGTCCTATAGTTTGATTTTCGAGTCTTTTCGAGTCTTTTTAACAGAAAAATAAAATTTAACAGATTATGCATGGCTGTAAGATCTGTATTTATTAAACAAACCTTTTTTTTTAATGAAAGAACATTGCTTAGATATATAAAGATACAAATGTAATTTTCTGAAAAAGTGCTAAACAGTGCTGCGTCTCGTCTCCACAGCCTATTGCACAAGAACGAGTTCCACTACAATAGAGTCTGTTTTGCCTCACATCACACAGAAATTGCAGGTCTACTGCTGTCTAGTTCATTAAGTTTAGTTGTGTTATGTTATGTCTTCAGTGATCAACTTGTGATTAACTAAAACTACATAAACAACCTCAATGAGGCAGCAGTAGACCAACAACTCCTGTATGCTGCAAAGTAAAATTGAGTGAAATTGGTATTTTGTCAATTGAATCTCGTGTGTGCTAAAGAGATGGAGATGCAAATCTGTCTAGCAGCAATGTAAAATGGTAGCACATATTCTAAATGAAGTAGGCTACTTCATACAAACAATAACGTTGTTTTCTTCACATAACAATGAAGAACTTTGCTCTCTACCTTGTGTGATGCTCGTGCACCGATTTCCTCTGTGGACAAAACTGCTTGCGAGCTCTCAAATTTACGCTGCTTACGCGCAAATTTTCTCGCTCTCAAATATGCACTGCTCACGCACACATTTTCCTGCGCGCTCTCAGAGATTATATATAGAATTTGTGTCTTGTGTTTCCTCTTCCTTTTGTGCTTTTTGATATGATTTATATTGAGGCACTATTTATTAACAATAACCAAAATACTAAAATAGACTGACATGAAATGAAAATTTTTATCTAATAAACCATAACATTTTGGCTGTATGTTTTATGATGAGATATTTCCAGTTTCAAACACTTAAAGACAGACAATAGAGGTTGGATGTAAAGAATGCATTTTGTTTTACAAACATTTATTAAACATCCAAAAGGTTCACCATACTAATCAAATAAAAAACATTTAAACAAAAATATAACTAACGCAAGCAGAAATGTAACTGTGATAAAAATAAGGAAAAACTTGATTAGGTATTATAGCCTACTGTACTATTCACTCTTCAAATAAATGCCATGATCAATCCCATTTTATCATGGCAACTAAAATAAAGTGAATTAGTCTCTGCTGTCTTCCACATTATTGATGAGATTGTGGAGGACATTTTCCATGTCATCCTCTTCATTTTGAGGAAAAGCTGTTCCACAGGGCCCCTGAACACATCTATTGGCATGGACAGGGTTTTGAACAGTACTATAGTAAAGTACTTTAATTAATCTGTTGGGGTAATATTATAGTTGCTATGGTAACACAAGTGTAATATAAACAAATGACCCAATGCTGTAGTTTTTTTTACAGTATTGGGTGTATTACACTACAATTCACCACACTTTACTGTAGTAAAACTACACTCTGTATTTCATTTTATTAGTTCACTATTCTTAATACTACAGTATGCTGAAGCATTCATTAACAACTTGTAAATAATACTAGCCTAAAACATAGGCAGTATACCTAACTCTCAAAAACACTAGTATTTATTATAGAATTTACCTTAACCTCATCGTTTTTCGTGTATTGTTACTAAATAGTTTAGCAATATATAAACCATATCAACATTCTGGAATAATCAATTTATCAGGAGGATCTCTAGAGAGCAAAAGCAGGAAAATTATGAAGCGCCAGTGTGGACAAAACTCAAGCAAACGCAGAGAGACTGAATACGCGCGTGAGAGACCAGCCAATCAGATTGAAGTACCTGCCCACTGGTGAAAGTAATGTCAGAGCCAATCAGATTTTTCTTTCTTTTCATAAAGAATGGGGTTCGAATCCCACTTAGGCACTTGTAAACAATCATTTTAGAACATTTTGTCAAAAATCCCTACTGAAAAAACAGCTTAAACCAGCCTAGGCTGGTTGGCTGGTTTTAGAGGGGTTTTGGCCATTTCCAGGCTGGTTTCCAGCCATTTCCAGCCTGGTCTTAAGCTGGTCAGGCTGGGAGATGACCAGCTAAAACCAGCTATGTCCAGCTTAAACCAGGCGGGTCAAGCTGGTTTTAGCTGGATTTTGCTGGTCAGTTTCCAGCCTGACCAGCTAAGACCAGGCTGGAAATGGCTGGAAACCAGCCTGGAAATGACCAAAACCCCTCTAAAACCAGCCTGGTCGACCAGCTAAAACCAGCTTACCAGCCTAGGCTGGTTTAAGCTGGATTTTTCTGCAGGGATATTGTTATGTTTAACCATTTATTAGAGCCACAGAGTATCTAAAACTTGTTTTCATGTTTGAATAGCCAATAAATGTGCTAAATAAATTAAAATAGAAATACCCACAGTGAAACAGTTATATAATTTAAATATTAGTTTAAATACATTCATAGTGGTTTTAAATATCTTTTAATATGTAAAGTAGAGAAGTTCACATTCAACAAACTGAATAAAACAAGTCTTCGTTTTTAGTTTATTTAAAAACAATTACAAATGGAGTAATTCAACTCACAATTAAATGATCTCATTGAGTGATGGAATAATAAAGGTAAAACTTTAATTGAATGATCAGTCAAGTGTTTCCAAATGAGATCTGTTAAAATAAGAGTCCTACAAAACAGGAACAAAGACACTCATGAAACAAAATGTGATTGTTAATTGTATTTTTTATTAGATGGTTGGTTTTAAGTACTTTAAAAATAGTAGATAATCCTTAAATATAGAGGGGGAAATACAGAAAAACAAACAAACAGAAATTGAACAATATATATGCATTACATTACAATCTCGCAATAAAAAATTTAATTAAAAACCATATAGAGGACTAAAATATTGCTAAGAGGCATAACATCAACAATAATAAAAATACCTTTAAGGTTTTAAATACTAAATAAAATTAATAGTATTAATCCAAAATATGAAAAATGTAACACTTTACAATAAGGTTGTATTAATTAATTAAGTTTATGCATGTACTAATGGGAACAAACAATGCAGTGCAGTTCATTACAGTATTCATTATTTTATGCTTTAATTAATGGAAATAAAATTATTGGTTAATTCTTGTTAACTCACAGTGCATTAA